CCCATCCCTGGAGGTGTTCAAGGCCAGGTTGGACGGGGCTTGGAGCAACCTGGTCTGATGGGAGGTGTCCCTGCCCATGGCAGGGGGGTGGAACTGGATGATCTTCAATGTCCCTTCCAACCCAAACCATTCTATGATTCTATAACCCCTGCTCAGGCAGGGTCAGTGATGGGACCACACCTTATTGGATTTTGGATGTCTCCAAGGATGGAGACTTCACCACCTCTCTGGGCAGCCTGAGACAGTGTTTGACCATCTTCACTGGATGAAAAAGGAAAAGTTTTTCTTAAGCTCAGGTGAAATTTCCTGCGTTTCAGTTTGTGCTCATCAGCTCATGTCCTGTTACTGGAGCACCAGAGAGTCTGGCTCCATCTTCTCCACATGTCCCGTTAGGTCTTTGTACACATGGATAAGATTCCCCCTGAGCCTTTTCTTCTCCAGGCTGAACACTCCCAGCTCTCTCAGTCCTTTCATCATCCACTATGTCCATGTCTCTCTTGTACTGAGGAGTCCGGACCAGACCAGGCACTCAGATGTGTCCCTGTGAGGCAGAGGAGCAGGGAAGGATGTCCTCCCTCCACCTCCTCCAGGGAGGCTGGTGGCTGTCTTTGTCCTGAGGACACCTTGATGGCTCAGGGCCAACTTGGCCACCCAGAGAGCCAGACCTGGGGGCCACGGCTGTGAATTTGTGGGGTGCTTTCCCCCTGGCACCTGCGCGAGCGGGCGATGGGCAGCAGCACCTCAGTTGGGCTGAGGCCAGAGCACCCCCAAATCCGAAGGGCACAGGGTGCAGCAGGGACCGTGCCCCCGGGAGGGCTGTGGTGGTGGCAGCCCACCCATCCTTGGGGCGGTGCGTGGTGAGCGCTTCTCGGGACTGGGCACAGGACTGTATTTGGAATTCCTTATTTATTTAACATTTTGGGTTGAAACTCTACTTTATCTCTCGTCTTCCTGATGCTGACTCTGCATGCCCAGGTCACTGCTTTCCGGTTAATTAGACGTTGTTAAGCAGATATTAATAAACCTGCGATCCTGATTGGCTTCAACGATGTGAACGGAAAAGGTTGTTTCCCCGTGGCGGTTGGCAACAGCGCCGGTGCCCCGGGAGCCTTTCCAGGGCAGCGCGGAGCCAGTGTCCCCTGGCCCGCTGGAGCGGGCCTGATCTGCCCCATCTGCCCTCATCCTGCCAGGGACCGATGCTGGGGTTTTCAAGGACAAAGACCTTTCCTGTGACCATCTCGTGTCTCTTATCAGCCATGTCCACCAGCAATGGCCAGCAGCAGGGCACCCTCAGAGCTTGACGCATCCCTGGGGGCAGCGTGATGCAATGATGCCGTGCAATCAGAGGAGGAAGGGACATGCAGGTCCTGGGGGATTGCAAGTGGCCCATAAGTCGTCAGCGTGTCCTTCCAGCTGTCCCACGTCATAGACCTTTTCTGGGAACATCTTGCATCTCTTATCAGTCATGTTCAACAGCAGTGATGGTCAGCGCTTCCCCAAATTTCATGCTATGATACTTCCCCGGGGCACCACCAGCCTCTCCAGCTGCCCAGCACACTGCCCAAGCCAAAAGCCATGGACAGAAGTGACCACAGGCCTTCCTTACTGTGACCAACCATATTCTCCAGGTGACACAGGTCCTGGACTTCATCTCCAGCCAGGTAGACCACCAGAGGGACATCACCTCTTCCTATGGTCTTCACCTAACCGGGAACCAACTGGTTCAACAGAGGCAGAGGAGCTCCAAAGGCAGTTTGGAGGCCTCATGTCCATCTTCCAGCTGCACTTCTTCCTTAGCATGTGCCATCACACTCCAACTTGAGGTGGCATTGCAATGGGGAGAGCTTAGGTGTCTCCCAGCAACCCCCTTGTGTTTCAGTGTTTCTGGATAAGACAAAACTGCAACCTTGCAAGGGTTGGGGAGTGACACAAGGACAGGTCTGCTCTGAAGTCCTCATGTTGGTGGGGGGTCTTCTCTCAGCCCGTGTCTTGGGGGATTTGGTGCTCAGCGGCTGCTTTCCTAGAAAAGCAAGACTTTGGGGCGGTGGTGCAACGAGATTCTCAGGTCTCTGCAGCCACAGAGATATTTGGGAATGCTTCCCCCCAACCTGCCGTCCTCTTGGGGACCCCTTCCACACCCATGCCTTGGGAAGGGGGAAAATCTCACCATGCGCATGTCTCCAAATCTCCCTATGTCATCCCCAGCACCTCTTGCTGTCAGATCTCCCCCATGTCTCCCCCCAACCCCGCAATCCCCCGGGACTGTCTTTGTCCTTGCTCAGACCTGCCTGGCACTCTTTCACGGATGGGAGGGCTCCAGGTACTGCCCCCAGCTGCTGTCCCCTCCTGGAGGGACCCCTGCCATCCTTCCCAGAGCCACAGAATTGCCAGAGCCCCTCTCCAAAGCCACCACCACCATCCTGCCACTGGCTACTCGGCCACTGGTGGCTAGTTTCTATGTCGCCGCTGTGGGGAGGATGAGTTGAAGCCAACATGGTCTTCACAGCCAGGAGAAAAGTCCTGAACAAGCAAGAAGAGGTGGGATTCACCATCATAACCCAAATCTGGACGAGTGCCTGAGATTCCGGGAGCAGTTGCTTCCCAGAGGGGCTGAGACCTGCAGCTCTGCTGCCCCCCAGGGACAGTCCCCAGGCTCAGCCCCACTTGGGGCAGCTGTGGGGCAGAAACCCCAATGGGCAGGAGAAAGGTGTGGGGAACTTTTGGGCGTGGGGCAGAACCAGCAGTAGTGGGAGACCCCAGGGGAGACCTTTGAAGAGAACCCTGAATCTGGTGACTCCTTTCTACGTGGGCTGATGCCTCCCTCCCTCCCGGGTGCACAGCAGTGGGGCTCAGGCAGAAATTCTTTGAGGGTGGTGAGATGCAGGAACAGGTTGCCCAGAGAAGCTGTGGATGCTCCATCCGTGGAAGCATTCAAGATCAGGTTGGACATGGCTTTGAGCTACCTGATCTAGTGGAAGATGTCACTGTACACAGCAGCGGATTGGACTACATGGTCTCGGAAGGTCCCCTCCAACACAAACCATCCTGTGACTCTCTGATTCTTTAACCCTTCAAATTCCCCATCACTGCAACGGAAAGTTCCGTCCCGGCAGAGCCGGTGTCCCCCTGCCCCACACCGGGGCACTCGCCAAAAGCTCCAGCCAGGGGAAAGCACCACACTGACAACGGCTTCTCAGGGCTCATTTTATTAGCAAAGGGTGGGGAAAACGCCCCTCAGAGTCCAGGCACCAGCTGGAAAAGGGCTCGGCCGTCGCCCGGAACGGTGGAGGTCACACGTAC